CCCTCTCCCATGTCCCCCCGGAACTGTCAGTCCTGTTGTTTTCTCCTCCAGATTGTTCATCCAGACTATCTTATTTAGACAGACCTGTGGAGATAATAACATGCACAAAAACAAGACAGAGAAAAACCAACCAACAAAAGAAAACAAAACATCAAGAACAATAACAAAAAAGAAAAGCCTGTAGTTAGTTCAAGGACTGTTTGTTGGTCTTCAGGCGAGTTTTCCGGTCGAGTCTGATGGGATGCCAAGCCCTAGCTCCAAAGTCTATTTTTTGTATTCCCTGGGTACTTCGTTGCTCCGTTCCCCTTGCTGTTGTCTTCCAAACCCTTAGTGTTTTGCCTCAGTGTATTGGGATTAGATCAGACGCAATTCCCACACTGTGTCTCCAGTGCTGTCCCCTGTAGGGCTATGGGTCAGTGAAGGATGTCGAGTCTCACAATGAGGCCGGCTATATGGTCTGCTCTGTGAATTGGCTGCTCTGAGCGGGAATATCGTTCTCAGGGATTGGTGGGCCAGGATGTGCTCCATGCTCTCTTCCTTCCCCTTCATTTGTGCAGCACATTTTTAATGCAGTTTTTGTGGTAAAATCAGGTGCCTCAGCTGATATTCAGGTTGAGTTATACTCAAGTATATACGGTAGCTAAAAATTGCTCTGCACAACAAAATTAGGTCTAATCACTCCAATGAATATCTCTACCACCAAGAGTCAGATTTTAATTCCCTCTCATGATTAATTCATCTTTGAACAATTATCTACTCGATTATTTGCGAGTGGGCTGCTGGCACTGTGGGGTACACACTGGCCTGCTCCCACGCCAGGCCCTCTGTGGGAGACAGATGAGGCGATCTGTTCCTGAAGGTTTACAGCTCTATGAAGTGGAACCAGCCTGACGGCAGTGGATTTAACTGAGGGTTTTGGACCTAATTATTTTCATTTCCTTTCCAGGTCATTAAAATTAGAGAAGTTTTAGAGACTCGAGGCAGCACTTTATAGCAAGAAACCACACCAATCATGCGAATGTGCAGTCACCACTAAGATGCAATCCCTTTGACTAAGCCACACAAACAAAGTGAAAATGGAAACTGGGATCTAACCTGTCAATGTAAAAGAAAGCATACCTAACCCAAGAAGAAAGAGTCTGAAAACGAATATACCTCAACCTCCTGACCCCAAGATTTCCTATTCCTCAAATAATCTAACCAAAAGCTCACCAAAGAAGAGGGCTAAGAGATTAATTGAAATCATGCAGTTTGAGTAATTAGCATACTCTATATAGGTAAAGTAAATAAATGCAAGTTACTTTATTATGCTGTAGAGGTCCCAAAAGTATACAGAACTTTAGTTTAAATAGTTATTATATAAATGTGAACATTACATTTATAATAACTGGGAAATACAGTTTTGCTCAGGGAATGGATGACCAATGAACAAACTTCGTGAAAAAGTCTGCTTCTCAAAGACCCAGAACAAAAAAATCATATCATTGTGAATGAGGGGGAGTGCAAAGTGGAGACCCAAAGACCATCTGTAGGCAACTGGACATCCCCTTCCAGGAAGAGACAAGCCAGTCAGGGTACAGTGTAGCAACGATGAAACATACAACTTTCCTCTAGTTCTTTAATGCTTCCGTCCCCTACTATCAGGACTCCAATTCTATCTTACAAATCTGGCTAGACCAGAGCATGTACATGGATACAGGTAAGAGCTGGAAACACTGGGAATCCAGGACAGATAAACCCCTCAAGACCAATATTGAGAGTAGACATAACAGGAGGGGAAGGGGAAGGTCGGGGGAGATAGA